GTTTACCGAACAACACTACAGCTTTTGTTGCAAAATAAATACATATGCTAAAATAATAGAAAAGCTATGTACTATACGATATTAGCTTTAGGAGGACTTTAATACCTATCAACCGATTAATAAATTTAAATTTTAGCATGTATTTTCAAAAATATTGCTACATATAGAAAATCAGCAAATTTGGACTATTATCGACAGAGTTATAATTTTAAAGAATAAATAGAGATCAATCTTCTGATCGGTTTTCATGAAGTGTTTTAGTATGTGTGATTTATAGACTCAGTACGTTCTTGTACTTAATGTTCTATGGCTTTCATAAATTATATAAAAAGAAAATATGTTTTTGTTTAGAATATTTGTCTTTTGAAGCTTTTATGATGGTAGAATATAAATTATTTTTTGTTGTTGATAAAAAAAACTTTTCTTCTAGCTTACGGATGTGGTTGAACATTAGACATATGATGTTTTTAATTTGTGGTCATTATTTTTCTTTCATTCTTTAATAGAGGGAGGAGAAGGGTAGTTATGAACATAAATAAGTCTCTTAAAAACAAACTTAAGTTCATTATATTTAGTTGGGGTTTAAGTTTAACACCATTTCCCGCGTATTATTAAGAAATATTTAAGAATATTTTCTTAAGATTCTTTTTCTTGAACATTTGAAAATTTCTGTCACTCGATAGGAAATGGTGTAGTGTACTTGTATAAACTGTGGTTTATGTTTAATTTTCTTTTAGGAAGTATTTCAATTGAAGCACAAGCTAATTTAAGCAGATTGACCTAAAAGTGTAATATTTCATTTTTAGAATATTTTTCTTAATTTTCCACACAAAATTCCTACAATAAACCTTCAACAACTTTATTAAACATTTATAAATATAAAGCAAGTTTAATAAAGCAGCTTTGAAAATATTTACTTGGAATTTTCTTTCGAATAATCGAATACATCTTAACATTATAAAGATTTTTTATAAAACTTATAATTTTTGCGGTTAAACGAATAAAATTATTCTATTAATCGCTGAAAATGAACCGATTAATCGATCTAAAATATTCATGAAAACTAAAAAATGAATCTAATATTTAAAATGTTTTGACTAAAATTATTTTAGAAAAAAAAAAAAAATAAATCGAATAATCGATAAAATTACGTGATTAATCGATTAAATATTTAATAATTAATCGATTAATAATTTAATAAAAATCATTTTTAAAGGGAAATGAGGAGTTTACTTATGTAATTTAAAGAATTTATATTACATATCTTTGTTAATAAAACGATTTTTTTTTTTTTTGAAAATGTTTGTGATTTATTCGAATAATCGGTTTAATATTAATTAGCTAACCGTTTAAAATTTTCGTTAAATCTTGTACAAAATTTTTTTCCATTCAGATTTTTCGACTAAAATTATTCGATTAAAATAAACCGATTAAAATTTATTCGAATAACCGATTAAATATATATATATAAAATCGTCTGAAAGAAATACATTTTCTTTTTAGTTTCAAATGCATATTTTTTGACAATTTTAACGATTAATCAGGAACTTTTGTGTTTATTTTTGTTATTAATCGTTTCAAGTTATCCGATTAATCTATTAAAATTATTCGGTTAACAGATTGAAAAAGCAGGGAGCAGAATGTGTAATAATTACTGTTTATACAAATGGAACTACGTGATTAAATAGCAAAAATCTTCGATTAATCGTTTAAAATTATTCGATTAATCGATTAAAATTAATCGATTTTAAATACTACACGTAAGAATCTCTAAAATTAACACGTTTTCCTTTTCATTACATGAAAAGTTTTGGTAATATTCACGTAATCCGATTAATCGATTAAAATTATTCGATTAATCATTTAAAATCATTCGTTTAATCGATTAAAAATAATCAATTTAAAATACTATATGTAAGAATCTCTAAAATTAACACACTTTTATTTTCATTAAATTAACCGTTTTTGTGATTTTAACGATTAATCGTTTCACGTTAACCGATTAATCGATTAAAATTATTCGTTTAACAGATTGAAAATGCAGGAATAATAATTTGTAATAATTAATATTTCTACAAATGAAACTACGTAATGAAATATTTAAATTCTTCGATTAATCGTTTAAAATTATTCGTTTAATCGATTAAAATTAATTGATTTTAAATATTTTATGTAAAAAATTTTGAAAATAAACACAAATTCTTTTTCATTTCATGAGCAATTTTGTGATTTTTGCGATTAATCGTTTCATGTTATCCGATTAATCGATTAAAATTATTCGCAAAATCATCTGAAATAATTATTGTCTCTATAAATTTTTTTTATCGATTGAAATTATCCTATTAATCGCTTAACAAAAGTTATTAATTGCTCTGAATATTTGACTTAATCAAACGATTAATCGATTAGAATTATTCGATTAAATAATTGAAATTATCCGATTATACGCTTAAAATTATCTGCTTAAATATTTGATTTAAGTAAAGCGATTAATTGAATAAAATATTCGGTTAAATTATTAAAATTATCCGATTAAACGATTAAAATTATTCGATTAATGAATTAAAATTATCCGATGAAACGATTAAAGTTATCTGATTATTTGACAACAATTTTAACAGTTACAAAGATTAAAATTATTCGATTAATCGATTAAAATTATTCGATGAAATGATACAAATTATCCGGTTATTCGATTAATCATTCAAATTATTCGATTAATGAATTAAAATTATCCGATTAAACGATTAAAGTTTTCTGATCATTTTACAAAAATTATCCGCTTAATCGATTAAAATTATTCGATTAATCGATTAAAATTATTCGATTAAATGATTAAAATTATCCGATTATTCGATTAAAATTATCTGAATAATTGATCTAAATATTTTATTTAAGTAAAGCGAATAATTGATTAAAATTATTCGGTTAAATGTTAAAAATTATTCGATTAATGAATAAAATTATCCGATTAAACAATTAAAGTTTTCTGATTATTTTATAAAAATTATCCGTTTAATCGATTAAAATTATCCGATTTAAATTATCTGATTAATTGATCTAAATATTTGGTTCAAGTAAAGCGATTAATTTTAAAATTATTTGGTTAAATGACTAAAATTATCCGATTAAATTTTATTCGATTAATAAATTAAAAGTATCCGTTTAATCGATTAAAGTTATCCGATTATTTTACAAAAATTAACCAATTAATCGATTAAAATTATCCAATTAATAAATTAAAATTATCTGATTAATCAATTAAAATAATTCGATTAAACGATTAATTAAAATTATCTGATTATCCGATTAAAATTATTTGATTAATTGATCTAAATATTTGATTTAAGTAAAGCGGTTAATTGATTAAAATTATTCGAATAAATTTTTCGATTAAAATTATTCGATTAATGAATTAAAATTATCCGATTAAACGATTAAAGTCATCTTATTATTTTACAAAAATTATCCGTTTAATCGATTAAAATTATTCGATTAGTCGATATTAATTATTCGATTAATCGATATAAATTATTTGATTAATCGATTAAAATTATTTGATTAATTGATCTAAATAATTAAGGAAATTGAGGATTAAACGATTAAATTATTCGATTAATGTCTTAAAATTATCCTATTAAAGTTATTGGATTATTTTACAAAAATTTTCCGTTTAATCGATTAAAATTATTCGATTAATCGATTAAGTTATTTAAATTATCCGATTAAAATTATCTGATTAATTGATCTAAATATTTGATTTAAGTAAAGCGATTAATTGATTAAAATTATTCGATTAAACGGTTAAAATTATTCGATTAATCTATTAAAATTAGACGATTAAACGATTATCCGATTATTTTACAAAAATTAACCAATTAAACGATTAAAATTATTCGATTAATCGATTGAAATTATGCATTTTAAATTAATCGCTTTATTTTGCTGCAATCTTGATTTCACCTGAAAATTTTTAATTTTTTTTTTTTTAATAATTTTTTGAGTTTTTTAAAAAAATTGTTCACTTTATTTCCCACAGTATGACAAACTTGTTATGATTTCCTTAAATTTTTATTATAAATTTTACAGTAATTATTTTAATAACATTAAACATGTTCTAAATAAAAAACATGATTTGTTTTGTTTTTTAATTTTTTTAGATATTCTTTGTATTTTATGCACTTTTTGTTATGATTTTTAATAAAAACAATTGTAAATTTTTTATTCGTTAATTGCACTACTAATTCCGGTTATTAATTACGAAATTTTTATGTGTTTTTTTTTAATAGCATTGTTGTTATTTTTTTTAAATTCTGAAATTCGAGCACATTTTTTATGTTTTTTTTTTCACAAGGCACAACAACAAAAACAAAAGATAAAACACCTGTACAGTTAAAAGTGTCGAATGTCTGGCGGTTTTTTTCTGTATGTTTTACTTTTCTTTTAGAGTTTTTTTTCCTGAGTTTTTTCTTTAAGAACTTTTGATAACAACAAATTACACATGTTGTTTAAAATTAAAAGAAAACAGTAAAGGGCAAAAACAGTTTGTTTTTGCTTTTGCTGTTTTATTTTACGTTGTAAAAAACAAGAGAGAAGAGCAAATTAAAAACGCAAACACTTAATTGTATTTGCTTTTAGTTTGTTTGTTTTTTTCTCAAACATTCACTTTAGGTTTAGGGCAAATAATGATAAAAAACCAGGCACAAAGGTTGATAAAAAAAACGCCACAACAATAACAAATACAAGTTAACTAAAGTAAAAAATTTAAAAAACAACAACTAAAAGACAGGCAGACAGACAGACACATACAGAGAGTGGTTAAACCGGAATTTTTGTGTTGGTACCTTATTTTACTTGCTGTTGTTGTTGTTTAAAATATTAAAGCACAAAAAAATAGAATTTTCAAAAAACAACAACAACAATGACAATTATATTTTTTGTAAGGAGTTTTGTTGTAAGGTGGTTGAATTTTAAGGAATTTTTATTAAAACTTTATTTACCATGATTTTTTTTACATAAATTTGTTTAATTTATAACTAATCTAGACTTTTATAACATATTTTTTATTTTAACCACAATTTTTTTGTTTTCTTTTACAAATTTTCTTTGAACACCATTTTATATTAATTTTTCTTTATGTGTTATTATTATTTATTGCTTATTTTTTCTTTAGAAAACTTTGTTAATATTTTCTTTATAGAAAATATATTATTATTCATCATATATATATATTTAAGAAAAAACTTTATGAGCTATTTATTTAGCGGCAAGTACAATAATAAATACAAAATATGTTATTTAAACATATTTTTTAATAAAAAAAAATCACAACACAAACACACGCACGCACGCGACGAACATCAATCCGTTTAGTTAAATACTCAATAGAAAACGCAACCTACACTTAACGACGTACGAATATTTACTAAAGTGATGCCAACCGAATTATCTCTCACACACTCGCTTCTCTTCTTATTTGATTTTATGCAATAAGTGCTGCCAAGTTTTCTTTGGTTAGTCAAAGCTAAATGTAAACAAAAAGAAATTCATAATTTTTCTTGTGAGTTTTTCTTTATTATTAAAATTTGTTTGTGGGCGAAAGAGAGAGAGATATAAAAGGCAAGTGTTTATGTTTGTATAATTTTAAACAGGTTTGTTTGTAATATGTGTGTACTTAAGGGGAGAGTTTTTTTTTTTTGCTGTAAAATAATTGTATAGCATGCGAGTTTTATAATGGAAAGGTATTGCCAGATGTAAATTTTAAGCTTTTTTATAACAGCAAGGCTTTTCAAACTGTTAAATGAAACTGTTAGCATTTGAAATTGCAATTAATTGCTGTTAAAATTTAGACTTTAAATGAATAAAATTATTCGGTTAAACAATATAATTTGAACCAAATAAATTTTTGTCATTTAAAGTAAAGTAAACGAATAAATTTATACGATTTTCGTAAAAAATCTAAAAATATATTTAGCAGGTAGGGTTAAACGTTTAAAATTAGATTTTTCACAAATCAATTTAAAAAAAAACTGAAATGCGTACTCAAGACTTTTTTCGATTAATCGATTAAAATTACTCTAGTTATTAAATAAAAATTTTGTCTCGAGATATGTTTAATCGATTAATCGATTAAAATTATTCGATTAATCGATTAAAAGTAACCGGTTAACCATTTTAAAAAATACACCATTTCACTTATTTTCAATAATAAAATATTTTTTATAAATTTTTCAATTAATCGATTAAAATTTTTCGATAAATTAATTAAAACTAACCGGTTATAGTTATTAAATAAAAATTTTGTCTCAAGACATGTTTAATCGATTAAAATTATTCCATTAATCGATTAAAGGTAAACGGTTAGCCATCTTAAAAAAGTACACCATGATACTTATTTTCAATAAAAAATATTTTTTATAAATTTTTTAATTAATCGATTAAAATTTTTCGATTAAATAATTAAAACTAACCGGTTAACCGATTAGAAATATGTATTCGTTATATATTATAATTTTAACTAAATGAATTTTCCATAAATTAAATTTATATATTCAAATTTATTCGATTAAAAATTTTTTAACCGATTAAAAAAATTAAAATACCTAAATATTGAAGAATTTTTGTCGATTAATCGATTAAAATACACAGCTTATTAAATAAAAATACTGTCCTAAGATGTGTTTCAATAAAACGGTTACTAACATTATTTTTCGTATTAATCGATTAAAATAACTCGATTAATTGATTAAAAGTAACCGATTAACCATTTTGAAAAATACATATAATATGAAATAGAACCATGATATTTATTTTCAATACAAAAAAAAAAATTATAAATTTGTTAATTAATCGATTAAAATTATTCGATTAATTGATTAAAAGTAACCGATTAACCATTTTGAAAAATACATGAGATATAATATAGAACCATGATATTTATTTTCATTAAAAAAAATTTTATAAATTTGTTATTTAATCGATTAAAGTTATTCGATTAATTAAATAAAAATAACCGGTTAAACGATTAGAAATATTGTAATGAAATATTGATTCAAAATAACAAAACGATTTATTAATATTTATCGATTAACTGATAAAAATTATCCGATTAAAAGTATCAAATTAAGCAATTACTCGAATAAAAATATTGGTAAAATAAGTTGTAAGTTTTATAAATAATTTTATTATTTAATCGATTAAAATTATTCTAAAATAAAATCATTATTTTCTATAATTTTTGCAAGTAACGGAATAAAATTAATCGTATAAACGATTAAAAATAACCGATTTAAATAAAATACATATTATTGAAATTCCCATAAATTAAATTTATATATTAAAATTTATTCGATTAAAAATTTACCCAATTAAAATTGTTCGATTAATCGATTAAAACTAACCGGTTATCGTTAAACATATATATGTAAATTATATAAATAAATTGAATATTGTACATATGAAGCGTATATTTAAAGTTTATTGATTATTCGATTAATAATACGCGTTTAAAAAAACGTATTTAAAGAAAAATCAAATTAATCGAAAAAAAGTACGGTTAATTAATAAAAAATATTCGGTTAATTTTTAAATTAAATTTTAAAATATTTCTTTAAAGTTTTTTTAATTATTTTTATTATTATTATTATTATTATTTTTCTAATGAAACGAATAAAAAATTCGAATAATCGTTTTACAATAACCGGTTAATCGATTAAAATATTCGTAAAACCATGAAAAATTATTGAATTTCTCATAAACAAAATTAAGATATACACATTTATTGATAATTCGTTGAAAATTATTAATATTTTTCTAAAAAAATTAATTTCTATTAAATTAATCGATTAAATTACTCGATTAATCGATTAAAAGTAACCAATGAACCGTTCAAAAATAAATAAAATTGTGTTATTTATGTTATTTCTGAAGAATTGTTTGCGAATATATAAAATTTATTGAGTATCCGTTTAATCGATTAAAACTAACCGATTAACCGAATAAAAAAAAATTACAAAAAAACATTTAATATAAAACTTCTTCATAATATGTGTTTTATTAAAATTTTGTACATTCCAATTAGTCGAATAAAATTACTTAAAAGTAATCGATTAAATTTACTCGAAAATATGGTTAACCGATTAAAATTATTTGTAAAATATTTTAAAATAATTGAATTTTCTTTATATGAAATTAATAAATAAAATATATTGATGATTTATCATTGTTTTTCAAAGTAATCGATTAAAAAATTGCGAGTAATCGATTAATTAAAACCGGTTAACCGATTAAAAATATTCGTGAGATCATGTAAATTAATGGAATTTTCTATAAATTAAACAAAGGCATAACATTTATTTATTTTTTTATAATTTCTTCGAAAAAAAAAAACTATAAAAATATTTATTCGAATAAATATTTTACAGATTTTTTTCGATAATTATCGATTATAATCGATTAAAATGTATCAATAATTTGAAGTTGATGCAAACATCTTCTACAATACAAACATTTTTATGTATATTTTGCTATAAATTTATCCGTTTATACCTTGAAAACAATCCGATTAATCGATTAAAACTAACCGATTGGAAAGATTGTTAATATTTTATAAAATAATTGAATTTTCTATAAATTAAACAAACTAATATATACAATTTATTTATTATTTATTTACGAATAATCGACTAAAACTCGATTATTTAATTAAAATTATAGAAAAAAACATAATTCCGATTGTTCGATTTAAATTATGCGATTAATCGATTAAAACTAACTGTTAAACAGATTAAAAATATTCTTAAAATCACGATTATTATTAAAATTATTATTGTTATTTTCACCTGTTAATCACTTAATTAATACTTTAAAATCTGGGGTCTTCAGAAAATTGATTTCAACAAACATACAGACGGACATAGCTTAATCAATATACATATGTATGTACATATGTATACTTCATAGGATCGGAAAATTATATTATAGAAATTACAAACGGAATAAGGTACCCTTCTCACGAAAGTTAAGGGTATAAATTTATTTTGCAAAAATAGAATAAAATTATTCGATATAGGTTTCAAAACAAGCAAAATTCCTTTTCTTGCATTTTTACTAAGCAGCTGATTTAGAATTTTAAAAAATGTTATATTCTCTACTATTTAATATCATTTTCTTACCCTGTATGATAACTAGTAGTTCCATTAAGCTTTTTCTTCAACCCCTTTAAGCAAAAGCAGAATAAAAACCACAAAGAAATAAAGCAAAATCTAAAATAGTAAACCCTGGTCTCTTGTCTATCAATCACAGTATAATGACCCCAAAAATCTTACTCTTTGATAAAAAAAAAGATTTTTCTCGTTCACAGCATGTGATAAACATGAACTTTTTGTTTATCATTGCAACCCCTAAAAGTTTAAGACTAAAACAGTTAAACGATAAGACAATTTATTATATAAAATTGGAAAAATATATATTATAACTAAATAGTTATCAATTAAAAATTCAAACACAAAAACCTTGAATGAATTTGTTATCACAATGAAAATTTTATTTTATTTTTTAGCAAATTGCAAAGAAAAATGCCGGTTTTGCTAAAAACGGCGCAAACTCAAAGAGTCAGCCGGTAAGAATGTGTGAAATAAAAGGGAATAAAATAAATAAGGGAAAACGAAGAACTGATGTAAACAAAACATTCAATATTTTTGCAAAGTTGCTTTTCAAGCTTTTAAGCTTATAGCATGAGAGAGTTTTTATGTTAAGGTTTAAAGCAATGCTTTTTAAACTGTTAAAAGCTTTATACCGTGAGAAATGTTTGCGAATGTTGTTTAAGGAATTTTCAAAAAATATGTAATTCTAATTTATGTGAAGCTATTTTTGTAAAGTTTTAAATATAATAATGAAAATTATTTAAAGAATTATATTTTTAATTAAGTTATAAATTAATTCATTTATAAACTCACGTTATTTGGTTGAAATTTTCTTTGGATATCTATTTGTTATACATTTTTGTAGCACTTACCTAGAAAGAAAGAAAAAGCAAATAAATTATTAGAAACAATTATAAT